TGTTCCTGCTGGTCTTTGAAGGTCATTGACAGAATCCATGTTTCTGTCAAGATTCAGCAGAGATCCTCACTGCCACAGACTGGGACCCCAGACTCTCTCGTCTGGACCTCTGAAATCTCTTGTGTCTCTTTCTGCTTAAGGCCATTATACCTGGATTGGGGAGGTATATTTAATTGAGTTTCAACATTTTGTTCAAGTACTTCACATTGGGTTTTATCCCCTTTCCTAGGAAAACTCTATTGTTATCTGACCAGATTTGTATTTGTTCCTTAGTGAAATTGTTTTGTAGCCTTCAAACCCTTTCTCCTATGGTCCGTCAGAAGCAGACATGCAGAGGCCCTGAACATCTATCCTTGACCTGGCTCCCAAAGTTCCTTCTAAGTGTCTTTGAACCAACTTTGCCTTGAGTCTCCATTTAAAAATTACATAAAAACTTCCTCCTTAGTCTTGTCTTTGTGTCCCTGCTCTGTTTAATTTTATCTGCTTACAAGCAGGAGGTTTAGCCCACCTGTGTTTGGTGAGGATTAGACTTTGGCCAAATTCCAGAGACATGAGGTTTCATAAGTACCATCTTTAGGAAGCAGCTGCAGTTTTCACAGGGTATTCTCAATTGAAAATTGCCACGTCTATGCCCCAAACCCTGCTTCCCTCATGTTCTTAACACCCTAATGTTAACTTGTGTGCTTATCTCTCTGTCACAATTATAAGAGGGACAATTTAGAACGGCACTAGTCACTTTGGCTACCTTTGACAAGAACAAGATTGTTCATTTAAGAGGTGCTTTAGAACAAAAATAAATCCTCATGAGGAAATTGTCTTGTTTGTGTATAAGAAAGAGAGACTTTTCTAATTTATGGAAGGAGACACCTGCTCCTTCATGTCCACATTTTGTAGACTGACTGATAAGGTTTGGCTTTTTAATTATATGATAAAATTGTCAAGGGCCCAATTTAGTCTTTAAATCAGCTATAATAACACTCTTTTGTGTGTGTACACATTAAAATGGGTATTTCTACATCTAAATTTCTCTTCTCTCTTTGCAAAGAAAGTATTAGCTTTTTGCAGTGGTAATTTTACATACGTCTGAAGATGACCGCTTTTCATTTTGTTCTGCTTTTCCTTCTCTTGAAAATATAAAGATTAACTAATGGATAGAACAAAAACATTCAGTTGTGTGCTCACTCTAGGAATATGCAGTTCATATACAGTCATGATATCTAAAAAAAAGTTGTCAAACTCAGTTTTATTTTGTGAATCCTGAAAAGTGCATTTACTGAATAGCCCTGGTTACATAGCTACAATACAAGAGCTTTTGGCATGATTAAGAGTTTGTAAATTTTAATTTACCATGTAAAAACAATGTCAACACAATATTTTGTTTTGCATAGACTAGGGTTAAATTTCTCATGATTAAAATTTACTAAATTTCCTATGCTGGTTTTGAGAGTTAATTTATCATTGTATAACATGATTAAAATTAATGCGTTCACGATAATTGTAAATTACAGATCCCTAACTAACTTTAAGACTTTAGTCAAATGATTAAGTTAACTAATAACTAATCTTTTGATGCCTGGGCAATTTCTAAGTAAAAAGCAGATACAAAAACATTGGTTGGTAAACAATTTTTTTAAATTCTTATTTCTTACAATGGCAATAGATTAAGAAAATATGCAAATGTCTGAGTGATATCTATGTGTGCTTATTTTTACCACCTCAAAATTGTTAAGATAATATAAAATGCACATTTATGAAAAACAGTAGTTAAGAAATTATTGGTTTTCTGTCTTCTGGTATTCTCCTTTGTCTGGAGAAAAAGAAGATGGTTATTTTGGTTAAATATCATAATTAATATGACTGGTTGACTATATTAGGTGATAGTAATTAAAGAGAAATACAAGACTGTATGACAATCAATATAACTTTCTTTTTAAGTGTTATTATTGTTTAAGATGTTAAATTTAATATTATTTATACATTGTTTTAATATACATAATTTAAGGCTATAGTTTAAAAATTTTAAATATATTATTTGTATATTTATATATTCATTTATGCCTAAATACAAATGTGCATAAATGTATATTTATAAATCTTATATAGTCAATATCTGAATAATATACAAAAGAGTAAATTAGAATTTGGGTCTTTTTTTCTGTAAAAGAATTTTTATCCTGTGCCAAATTAGTAGGAGGCTCCCTTTTGTCACTAAAATATTTTAATTCTCAGTGTTTTTTTAACAGATTCTTAAATCGTTTTGAAAAGATTCCTTTTGAAAAAATTTAGTTCCTTATACAATTGTTGTCTATTGCTGTTTTTACAATGTTGCTTGTAAATATTTCTTGTCTTTAGATATTTATAACTTTTGTTCACTCTAGCAACTACTTTTGTTTTTTCTCAATTTAGGTCCCAGATTCAGAATAATGCCTAAACTCTCAAAATGGCCATTGGGTAAAAAAGAATCGCTCCTTTAAACATGAAAGGTCAAAAAACATAATTAGAATTTTCTAGCATTCTTCAAATTTTAAAAAATAAGTATGGGAAACCCTTGTTTACAAAACTTAGGAAAAAACTGACAATGCAAAAAGACATCTTAGGTTAATTATACATACAAAAAAGTGTGTTAATAAAAATATATTTTAATGATTGTAGTATACTTTTCAAGTTAAACGAAGCGTATCAAAATATTTTGTTTCCAGGATCCTGAATTCAAAAATCTTTTTTTTTGTTGTTGTTTTTCATGAAAGGTCTGAACAAGCACGATCGGTACTGACTCTTAGGAGGATTATTCAGTCTTTCATTAGGTCCAGCCACCAAAGTACACCCTTCTTGTCAAAAGAGCCTTAACTAACAGTGCTAAAGCATATGGAAGTTTCAATTGACAGTTCTAGGGTCTCCACTGAACCTAATTGTTCCCCAAGCCATGCACTTTTTTATTGACAAAAAACACTCAACACTTCTCAGCTAGCTGCCTAACCGCCTATAAAATACTGTTGTCTCATTCACATACCACTATCCTTTATAACAACACTAAACCCAGTCACCCTGGTTTCTTTACTGAAAAGGATAATCCCACCTCCTTAGGACACTACCTGTAATACAGCATGTTCTTGAGTGACATCGTTTTCTTCAAGGTCATTTAGTTATAACGTTGATGAGAAAAAAAAAAATTGTATTCAGGCCAGAGCGACTCTCTGGGTGGTGTGCACTTTTCTCCATGCTGCATGTATTTCTGCCCACATCCCAAAGGTGTGCACGGTGAGGTTCACTGGTGTCTCTACATCTGAGTGAGTGCAGGCGTGTGTGAAATCAAAGTGAGCTAACAATTAAGAATGATAAAAACAAATAAGGTAATGATTTTCTAACCCCGTTTGAGTTTAGGACGGTGGGTGGCTGGAGCCTCTCCAACAAGCTCAGGGTACTAGGTGGGACCCACCCTGGACAGGCTACCTTTCCATCACAGGGCCACTCGCACCTACCCGCACTCACTCAGGCTGGGACAATGGAGACACAACCTCACCTGCACATTTTTGGGACATGGAGGAAACCAGAGTACCCGGACTCCCCGGGGAAAACTCATGCAGACATGAGGAGGAGGTGCGAACTCCATACTGGCAATGGCCAGGGTGGAAGGTGATGTTTTGTATTGTTTTGTTTTGTTTTTTTCCTCATCAGGATGGAAAAAAGTCATCATCTAAGGAACTGTGAGGGAAGATTCCCCATTTGTGACATTTTGATGATCTGCTGGACCTTTTCACTTAATTCTCATTCTACGTCCATTTTCTCCATCACCCAACTGATGCTTTGAGAAGGTATATAGCTTGACCCAGGTCAAACAGCAGTAACAAATGCGGTGCCCCGGAATGACCGCCGCTGGACTACTAGGTCCTTTCCAGAACGTGAATCCACCAAAGCTCAAACGACCCCAAACCTCGCCCTTCTAAAGGGGCTTAATCACTAAGATCCAGAGGCCACTTGCTAGGCCCGGGTCCGACCTAGGTGGGAAGGTAAGCCTATTATTCTGCAAATCTTTCGCCAAGCTCCATCGTCGCCAAAGGAGGGACCTGAGAGCCTTTGGCCGCACTGAGGCGTAGTCACTGAGCACTCAGCGCGCGCTTTAGGGTCGGAGGCGCGGCCCC